GCCACGCTTCTAGGAACAAGTGCCTTACTAGTAGTAACAAAAAGCTATTAGAATTAAATTAAATTAGAATTAAATAAAACTTAAAGCTGGACGGGTCCTCGGAGACTTGAAGACAGGTCCTGGAATGGGGCCAAGGGCATCGCTACGAACGGAGCGATCGGACGATAGTAGGGGCTCCTGGCCATACTACTAGGAACAAGAAGCTACTAACAAGGAGGGCATCGGCTACTTTCGTTGCTTCTTTCGTTCATCTTTTCATCTTTGCTTCTTTAGCCCGTGGCCCTGCCTCCTGTAGGAACCTACTTCATTAAGGGAGTTCGCTCCCAGCTACTAGGACTCTACTACACTAATCATTTGGTTTCTATGAGATTTTTAGAGAAACTTGCAGTACACTTCCTTTCTCTCTCTCTCTCTAAAAAGTACACATCCGTGGACCTTTCTCTTTTTCGACTGCACCTGGCTCTTGGTCGTCTCCTTCAGCTTCTGGTGCATCCTCACTGAAGAGTCATTTGAGTCAGACTCTTTGAGTCTCCCCGTCGGTTTGGGAATAGAAACGCTGAGGACGCGCTTTCGAGAACTGAGGTGGTGACTGGGCGCTTCAGAGACCTGACAAAACGGAAAGGTAAAGAAACGGCAAAGAGACCTAGCAGCTACTAGGACGCTACTAGGGCTTCTGGCATCGCTACTAGTAACAAGGACGCTACTAGGGGCAGAGACCTAGCAGCTAGCACATGGATTTTACATATAGCTGGGAAGCCATCCCTCTCAAGCTGGAGGCGTTTGCTCTCAGGTTGGAGGCCATCGCTACTAGGTTGGAGGTCATCGCTAGTACAATGTCGAGTCTAGAAGTGATACAAGTAGCAAAGAATTCGCTAGAACCTCCCGACCTAGAAGCACAGTTCACAAGGCTAATTGGTGAGCATCCACAAGCAGCCCATCTTGCAAACCCTACAACGCTTCTATTTGCGATGCGCACTACCTGAAATCTGCAGCGGAAGCTACAAGACACCCGAAAATGTCGCAGATAGGAGCGATCGGACGCTACTAGTAGCTCCTGGCCTTACTACTAGGAACAAGAAGCTACTAGTAACAAGGGCATCGCT